ATATATATACACACACACACACTAATTTCAGTGCATTATATTTGCTTTGTCAATAAATATGCCAAGTTTATGGAGGCCGTAATTATTTAAGTTAAAGATACTCGAATGTAATTTGAATGTTAACTATCTTTGCATAATTATGTCACAGAAATTAAATGACTGTTCAATACAATATTTATGAAAATGTGGGACTATGGTACTGTGTATCGACCTCCATCTATGAAGTTGTGTCCCTTCCCCCTCCCCCCATTTCCTGGACTGCCACTGACAAAAAGATTTAACACTGTTTATATTATATCTTCAAAATGTATTAAGACCTCAAAATATAAAAAATATCTGGGCTCGATGGAGCTCCACCCACTCAACCCCAAAAAGGTTCTGTTGCTTGGTAGCCCACATAGTCATTTTGGTCCACTTTCCACAAATTTGCACCTACCCAATAAAAACCTGTGTACAGGCCTGATTTATGTCTTACACGTTGTTTAATATTTAGTAGGCCTGCATACCTCTATCAACATTTTTTCAAATCTGTTGATCTGAAATGTTTTCATAATATGCCAGTGCTTTCATCTCAGATAACATAATAATTTGGTTCAGTATTTTAATTTGTTTGAACCATTAAGATATTGATTGGATCTATTGCACTGAACAACATAAATTAATAAAATATTTACCTTAAAATTCTCTGTTAAGTTTTAGGTGTGCATGAAATGTCTGCAAAAATAGAAATGGGTTTTTCCAGGTTAGTCATGTGACCTTATAGGCTGGTTTCTTTGTGAGTGCAATCAAGCGTGACATGATGAAATCAGTCATGCAGTGACTTAGAACTGCTGTAAAGTTCAGGTACTGTAGCGTATTCATTGTTATAGTTGATATTAATCCAAGTCAAACTTATATTCAGGTTGCAGTTAAAAAATAGGCTCCCAGTGGGAGCATGTGTCTACTGCCTTATACAGGAGTTTTTATTTTTGAATTTAATCTTACGTTCTTCAATATGCAGATGTGGTTGTCATTGTAGTGTATCTGAATTTTTCGTGAAAATTGTCTTTCATAACAATATTCTGTATACTACTAGGCCCACTGTATGATATTGCACTAAAAACACTAAAAAAGATTAACTCTTGGAATCACCGCTTTATGTCATTGATCTCGAAAAGTACTATCATATTCTAGAAGGCGTCCTTTAAATGATGGTTAAAGGCGTTCATGACGAACGCGTGCTGCGTCTCTGTAACGCATGTTCGAATTTGAACGCAATTAAGTTTGAATTCCAAACGCTTTGCGATTTTCAGTAGAGCGCCCCCCACCTGGTGGTAGTAGTACCCATCATTCCTCCACCGGATTTACCCTTTTCTGCCATCTTTAATTGCTACATCATGACATAGTGTCTATGGCCCACGATGGGGGCACTTGGACATAAAAACAATTCTATTTATGTTTACAAATGTGTAAAAAATGACAAACAAAAATCAATGATCAATTAACCAACAATTTCAACATTTGATTTGGTTAAATTTACATATGTATAAAGACTAAACAATTAAAATTATATAAAAGGCAGAATGAAAATGTGTATAAAGACCATCGATAATTAATGAAAACAATTAAAAGAATTAAGTAATATAAAAATAATATAAAAATCAAAATTTAAAAGTCATTCAAAATTGAGGGAACAAATAATAACAATAAAATAATAATTTAATAAATGGATCCTCATCCATGCAATTAAAAACCCTTTATTACTTACAGTGCACAGAACTGAAAAGGGAGAAATTGAAGATGTCAAGCATTTTTTACTAAATTGTCCCACTTACAATATCATTTGAAAACAACATTTAACAAATCTTGAAAATGACCTACTCTGTAACGATTATGATACATGGACACTTTTTTCAACAACAAATGATGATATTAAAATTAAATTATTTAAATTATTCAGTCTTCTAATATTTGTGATATCTATATTTTTGATAATTTCCGTAAAAATACATCATGAATGCTTGGGAGAAACGCTCACAACTAAAAAATTCACAACAATAGTATAAATGTATTGTTGCTTATCAAATTGTGTAATGTTAATGTTTTTTTTTCTTTTACACCAAAAATGGATTCTACATTGTAGTCAGTATTTTTTAAGTAGTCCTACTCTGGTATAATCTTTTTGTTGTAAGACGTTTTAATCTTTAGATTTTATATTTTTAGGTTAGTTATTTTAAGTATTTACATTACAGTAGACCTGTATTTCTGAGAATGAAATGTGATTTTTTTACCTCATCTAATTTATCTCATTAAATTTGATCCACTTTATCTGTTGCTGTTGTGCAAGTCCCAGCCATCCCATTGGCATTGTGAAGCATCATTTAGCAGGCAATTAGCATGGGGAAATGTTTAATGTTTTTCGGATAAAATTCCACACTATTATAAATAAGGCCTAGCAAACTTACAGAGAGTGATACGCAAAAAAAATGTGAAGGTCTAGAAGTTTACAGAACTGTGTTTTGCTTGTTTATGATCCTAATTAACATTAAATTATTTTTTTATTGCAGGTCTGAAGATATCCAGATATATCAATAATTGTCTTTGAAAGAATTAGCAGGCTATGGCAGAATTTGAAAAAATAGTGCAACTGAATATGGAAAAGAATTCTGAAATTGAATTTGAAATAGGTGTGTAATTTATAACATTGTTCCTGGCCTATTCGTTTTTTTTTTTTTTTTTTTTTTTTTTTTTTTTTTTTTTTTTTTTTTTTTTTTTTTTTTTTTTTTTTTTTTTTTTTTTTTTTTTTTTTTTTTTTTAATTAAAGAATGGCTTCAGTATTAATTGCTGTACATATATCCAACTACAGTACATTACAGGCTGAGTTCTGTACATTATGAATTTAATCACCATAAACATAAATATAATTTGAAAGATTTTAGAAAATAATTAATTTATGAACATTTATAAATTTTAGTCTCAGTGTGTTTTGTCTTATTCAATGTACCGTACCCCATTTGAATAAGTGCCTCTCTCGAATAATCGCCCCTACTAACGTGAAAATTTCCTTAAGTGACCCGTTTGAATAAGCGCCCCTTCTAATTGAATAAGCGCCCCCTAAAATGATATCATAAGATTTTATTTTTAGCAAGTCAATAATTCAATCAATTCTGGGACTGTGGTTTTGGCATGATTTGAGCTGCAGAGTGGAATCACATTCTTCTATAGGTCAACATCAAAATGAGGATTCCTCTCGGGCAGATGAGAGCTCCGATCCCTACACAGACAGTATATTTCCAACTTTCCTCTTACATAGTAATTTGTCATCCAATTATCTGCAAAAAATAATTTAAATGTCCGGGCGCTTATTCGCGCGAGTACGGATTCAATTTTGAATCAAGAAAACTATGCACTTTCTATATCTTTATATATATTTTAACATGGCCTCCCATTACAAAAAAAGTTTCTTCAATAACTAATACAGCACAGTAATCTTATCATTTGAAAGAGAAATTCAGACTCGGTCATGATTTGAAAACACATTTGAAGATACACACAGTAGAAATGCCATACAAATGTGATCATTGCGAAAGAAAATTTAGATACTTTAGCCATTTGACAGCACATTTAAGGTTACATACAGGAGAAACACTGTATGAATGTGATAAATGTGAAAAGAAATTCAAAGACAGTACCACTTTGAAGTCACATGTAAGGACACATATAGAGGAAAGACCTTATGAATGTGAACATTGTGGAAAGAAGTTTAGTAGAAATGACACTTTGAAAATACATTTAAGGATACATACAGGAGAGATGCCATACGAATGTGAACTTTGTGGAAAGAAATTTAGTCATTTGGGTTATATGAAAAGACACTTTAAGATACATACAGGAGATCAACCATATGAATGTGATTATTGTGGAAAGAGGTTTCGTCAATTGAGTCATTTGCAGAGACATTTAAAGATGCATAAAAGAGAAACACCATATGAATTTGAACATTGTGGAGAGAAATTCAGACTCGGTCATGATTTCAAAACACATTTGAAGATACACACAGGAGAAATGCCATACAAATGTGATTATTGCGAAAGAAAATTTAGACACTTAAGCCGTTTGACAACTCATTTAAGGGTACATACAGGAGAAAAACCATATGAATGTGATCAATGTGAAAAGAAATTCAAAGACAGTACCACTTTGAAATCACATGTAAGGACACATACAGGGGAAAGACCTTATGAATGTGAACATTGTGGATGATAAAAATACCTGTCTCTTATACACATCTAGATGTGTATAAGAGACAAGAAGAAAGACCATATGAATGTGAATATTGTGGAAAGAAATTTTATCAAAATAGCAATTTGAAAACTCATTTAAGGATACATACAGGAGAAAAACCTTTTGAATGTGATTATTGTGGAAAGAAATTTTGACAAAGTAGCAATTTGAATACTCACTTGAAGATACACAAACGAAAACAATCTTTATGAGTGTGAAAAGAAACTAAACACAGTATCAATTTGAAAACTCATTTGAGGATTCAGAAGAGAAATTACTTGAATGTGAACATTTGAAACATTAGTGATTTGAGGCTACAAACAGGAAAAATGTGATCATTGTGAAAGGAAATTTAGAGAGATTCCATGTGTGGTAATTGTGAAACAAAGTTTTAATCAAATTTGAACTTTGAAAAACATGTGTATGTTAATAACATACAGCACAGACACTGTGTGTAAGTGAACATTGTGGAAAGAAGTTCAATCTGTATAACACTTTAAAAAACATTTAAGAATACATATCAGAAGAAAGACAATTATAAATTCAACATTTTTGGAAAAAAATTTAGAAACAGTTTAGCACTTTTCTGTACATTTGAGAGTGTGCATACAGGAAGGAAGCCATACACAATGTTAAGAATTGTGTAGGTAAAATGATCATCTGAAAAGATATTTAATGATACCATATTTTTAACAATGTAGAAGAATTTGAAAAGAATTTTATGTAATTGAAAGCACACTTGTTTAATACATTATATAACTTACATAAATTGGGAAAAAAATGAATCTAAATAATTTTAGTGCAGTAGTACTGTACCTAGCAATTTTAAATGAAAATATAAGGGATGATTTTGCATTGGTAAGAAGAATTTAAAGACGTATAATTTGATGTTTTCCTATCCTTCATAAAATCTTTTGAGAATTAGATAATTTTATTAAATTCATCATAGTATTGTGTTGCACAGTACTGTAGTGTAAAGTGAACTTGGTTTCCATTCCAAATTGGGTAGTTAAAACAGGTAAACAGGTACAGTACTTGTTTTAGTAAAGTTTAGTGTAATTGTATCCACAACTGAAGAAGAAAAAAATAGCTGATAGTAGTTGTTTTGGTGCTTGATGTTTGTGATCATTTACAGTACAGTATTTATTTATTTAATTCACTCAATAAAACTGAGTTATCATCAATTGGAATATCTCTCAGTTAATTTACCAGCTGATGGGAAGATCACACAATTTCCGAGAGAAAAGAGAATTTCCCTGGATCTCCATTAGAGCTTAACACCTGGACCCACACAAAATCTTCACACAATTCCCCTCCCCCACCACTAGTGCCACCATTATCATCGATTGGCATTAATTGGTTGATAATTTTATCTAATTTCAAAAAGAGTCCTCCTTGGACTGACAGTTTTTCCAACAAAATTTTAAAACAAATGTCTTAACCATAAAACACACTTCAAATGTCTGGAAAGCTCATTTCCCGCCATCTAGGAATCAAAATTTTCCCGGGAGAGAAACAAAGGACCTCCCTTTCTTTTTGGGATTTATCGATTCATGTCAAAAGACAACGTAGGCCTATGCAATTACTCAATTTGTTATGTATGTATACGCACATAAGACATATTTACTGTAATACGAATGAGAAAAATTTACCTGACTGTTTTCAAGAACAAAAACATTGATTTTTGAGAACTTAAAAAGTCTTTAAAAGGCACTTCAGAAGTAAAGATTTTCTCATTTCCCCACCCATTTTGAAGAACTTAAAAGTTGTTAAAAGAGTAGTTAAAAGACATCTGAGAAGTCAGGAAAGCTCATTTAGGGATTTCTTTGGGAC